CCAGTGATGGACTAGTCCCTCCTCACTCTTCCAAAGACAGCTTACATGTCACCGCTTTCACAAGGCCGCCCCAACCCTGCAGGACCCCGGCTTCACCCTCGCCACTGAGTTAAGCTTGGTCTGAATCCTTATCACCATGACTGGAAACACTTGTTGAGCGGAGTTGTCTTCTATGGCAGGCTGTGTGAGAGAAGTGAGCGGGTCCCGAAGCTCCGCCTGGTGCGGAGCCCGCGCAGAGTTAGCGCTTGATAAATGAATGGACGGATGGGTGGGTGGATGAAATTAACAGAAAGAATGCAGAAAGAGTGCAGCTATGGCCGAAGAACCAATTAGGGCCTTTAATCCTGGAAACCTCTCTCCTTAACAACAACAAAACAACATTGTTGCATGGAAAGAGAACAAGGCCGTTTCGACAGGTATATCTTGCCACATAACATGAATTAACCTTTGACCTCCCCTTCCAGCTCTTGGCCACTGACTCCCAAACCACCTGCCAAACCAAAGAACACTGTGTACACAAAGGCCAGGAGCCCAGGGCAGCTGAAGGCACCGATGACTCCCTGATCTTTATGAGGAAGTCAACATTCTTCACGTGTCCCCTCCCAGTGCACCCCATGGTCTGACCCAAAACATTCATGGAGTGATAAAGGTCAGGTGGGGAGGGGCAAGTCAAAGGCCGGAAAGGTAGTATGCCTAAAGACTTCCAGTGGCAATCAGAAAAGACGGCCAGAAAGCAGCTTCAGGGGAGGCTGGAGGGGGCCATGGAAACACACCAGGAGTTTCAGGGAGAGGAGAGCAAAGTCCTGAATTGTAGCAAGAACTCAGAAAATCTGAGTGAGCCTCACTGCCCAGGAATGTGTGTGTTCGGATCCCACTTCTACTCATACAGCCGTACTTTACTTACACAGACAAACCCACTCCCCTCTAAGACATAAGCTTTGCCCAGGGCTTTGGCGCTCCTTGAGGGAGGCCTTTAAATGTTACGAGAAATGCCTGAGTGCCCAGGCTGTGCAAACTAGTAATCGGGATACAGTTCTTTGAACACAGCTCTCTTCCTCGGGGCACGGCGGATGTTTAGAAGCATATGAGGACTCCAGAGGACAGAATCACTGAGCCAGGGAGGGCATCTCTGTTACTTATCAAAGAGCTGTCTCTGCACATTATTTCGCTCGAGTATATACACTTAGATTCATAGGATCCTAGAAAGTTAGGGACTCAGATTATGTCCAAGTCTAGGGAAAGTGAGGCCCAGCAAGGGAGGGGTCAGGACTTGCCAGAGATCCCTGATCTGCCCCAGCACAGACTGCGGTCATTCTGTAGCTCTGAGAGAATGCTTACAGAGACGCCCACCCGAGTGACAGGACCAAAAGAAATGGCTTCTGCTTGCAAGCAGATAGACTCAGCTGAGACACTGTGAAGAACTCCTGAGTACAAGAATGGGCAACAGGCTTGGGTCCTGCCCAGAGCGGGGCCTGATCTTTGGGGCTGCACCCTCCCAGGGACATCACCCTCATATCAGTCCTCCTCTTCAGGAGTTCAAGATATTCTAGGTCCTTTCTCTGAGCCGGCGCCATGGCCGGCGGCTGAGGGAACTTGAGAGGCCAGCCCTAGAACAGGTGCAACAGCTGGAGCAACTGCGTAGCTGTCCTGGGGCTTGCAGCCTGGAGCCGGTGAGTGAGGCAGAGACCTCTAGTGGTGAGCGCTGGGAGGTGCAGAACCTCGTGGCGGCCCAAGGCTTGCACTTAAGGCCTTCCCCTTTACCTGTTTCCCACCCGGTGGTGCACATCTGGACAGATGGACAGAGATGTGTCTTAGCAGGGAAGGATTCCATGCTGGTAAGTATCCCACGGCACGTATTTCCCTAGACCACCAGCCAGACACCTTTTCACAGGGACAGCTCCTCTATTCCTCCCACAGGGAAGAATACTTACACTCTCCCAACTCCCACTCTCCAAGTCACCTGGACTCAGGACAAAGACAATGACATCTGGACCTTAGAGGCAGGCGGTCAGTGCTACCATGGTCCTTAAACACCGCCCATGCCAGGGCGAGCATCTCATCTTATAGGCGGCAAACAGGGGCCTGAGGGGACATTTGGAACCAGGGAAAGAGCAGGTGCTGCTCCCCTGATGTTGTGGTGGAGGGCTTGCCTTTAAAACCTCATCATCCTGCTGGAACTACCGTTTTGTCCAGGCCTGCTGCTGGGGTCCGAGATTCCATCACCTGGGAACCAAAGCTCCGGGTCCCAGAAGATACAAACCCTTGAGAGTCCATGTCTTACTTGGTAATGGACTCGCTCCTGAAAGTAGCATTGGATAAAAGGAGAGAAGAGAAACAGTGCAGAGAGAAGCAAGTACTAGAGAAGGCACTGGAGTCAAGTCAAAAGAACAGGGCCACTGCTGGGTCACAGAGACCACAGATGACCAGGGCTGAGTCTGTGTGGGACTGGAGTCAGCACAAGTCAGAAACCGGTGAGAGCCCTCCTGTGTGACAGCTCCAGCCTCAGATGGAATTTGGGGTCAGTCAGTGGTGAGGGTTAGGCACTTAGGGCCTGGTATGGCTTAAGTGGGACTCAGTATATATCTGCGGGTAGAAGCCAAAAGGAGAATAAATAACCTTTGCTGAGCAGCCTTAGACTTCAGCTAAGGAGTGTGCCAAAACCCCTGCTCACCACCCGTGGACTTGCTTCAGGGCGTGGCTGCCTTGGGCCTGAGAACACCCATCTGTTGGCACCATTTGTAAAAGCACTTTGGACGTCACCAGGAGACTTCTCACACACCACACATGCGAGACCACCTCTTATGCTAGGACAAGACTTTTCATATGAGACCTTCAAATAGGACACTGGCAGGCGACTTGCAGTATTCACAGACCAACAGCTCCAGTCAACATTAGGCTCAGAGATGGGGGATGTGTCCCAGGTCACACAACCAATAAATGATAGGCCTGGATGTAGGATCTAGGTTCCTTTCTTTGTGGCCTTGTACTAGTCCCATTCCCCACCCCTGCCCCCGACTTCAGATTAACTGTAAATGTAGGTAATTTGATGGATAGAGACAGAAGGGAAAGCTCTTCTAGCCTTGACAACACCAGGATCTTAATTCTCCTCCCCAAATGTCAGGTCACCTTAGTGACAGTCATTTTCTTGAGTGTGTGGAGCTCTGTATTCACGAGGCTATGGGGGACATAGCATTTGCAGAACCTGGTGACAGAGATGGGGAGGTTGGGAAGGGAGCAGGTCACCAGGAAGTTTTCTGGAAGAGGTGACTGTGAGGCTCTGAAGGGCTGGTGCTCGTAGGGGGCAGAAGGGGCTTTGAGCACCTCTGTGCCATCCTCAGAGTGGGTCACCCAGGGCAATGATATTGGGAAGGAAGCTGCAGGGCCAAGGCCAGACTCAGAGGTCCTCTGAGACTAAATCTCTTTCTGTGGACAGCAGGCAGGCTAGGAGGAAATCCTCGGGGTTCAAGGAGGACAGGGGACATTTACTGAGTACTTGGTACTTCGCTAGGCACTTGAAAGCATTGTTTCCCAAGCCCTCCAGACCCTGGCTAGTAGCTCTTTTTGACAGACGAAGAAACAAGCTCACAGAAGAGACACAGGTGTAAGGCAGAGTCAAGACTGGAACCCGACTCTGACCTTTCTCCGTTGCCTACTCATGAGGCTGTGACTCTCATGCCACTAGCGGGCTAGGGAACGGCAGACAGACACACAACTGTCCCCTCACCAGAACGTACAGGACAGAATCCAGCCTCACCAGCTCCACCAACCCAGGAGCCAGACAGAAGCAGAGCTGGCAGGTGGAGCTGAGCTGTGGAAATGGAAGGTTCCCAGCTGGGAGGTTGGCACCTGGGTCTTCAAGCTAGGCTCTCAAAGTACTGTCCCTCATTGGCCTTTCTTTCTTTCTTTCTTTCTTTCTTTCTTTCTTTCTTTCTTTCTT